CCGCCGTCAAGTTGGAGCCAGTCTGCGGCGACCACAGCGCTCAGAAAGGCGGTACATATAGCGAGCTTTTCAGAGTCAAGCGATTGCGCGAAATCCCACAGCGCAGAGGGAGCCCTCCTCTTGGTATATTAAAAAAATCCCACACTGGTGGATTTTGGGGCGCTGTGGGCCCCCTACGCATGGGTGTGAGGTCAAACCACGCTACCAGGCAGCGCTTGGTCACATCGGCCCCGAGGCGTCGCGGAAGCAGGAGCCGACGGAGGAGCAGAAGGATGCTCGGGCCGCGGCTCGCAGGGCCAAAAAGGCCCGGCAGAAGGCGAACAAGGCGGAGAGGAAGGCTGCGGCGGCGGCCGCGAGCGAGGCCGAGCGTGCGGACTACCCGCACGCGCAGCTGCGCGAGAACGTCGAGTTCGTGATGGAGGGCTTGGAGGCTGCGGCGCAGGCGGCGCGCATCCCCACCGGGTCCAAGATTCAGGTCGCCTACTCGCTGCCTCCCGAGGGGGGCAGCGGGTTCGGCGACCTGGTGTACGCCACGGTCCCTCTGGGCTCCGTGGCGACGAAGGTCGCCCGGGACTGGCTCGCCAACGAGCTCTACGAGCCGTCCCGGAGCGGCAAAATTGATGCGGCCTGCAGGGACCGAAAGGTCGCCGACCTGATCACGGCTGCCGGCGCCTCGGCGCCGGCCGACGCCGTGTTCGGCGGCAGGTTCGCGACGGGCGAGGCGCCCCGCCCGACGACCCCCGCCTCCGAGGCGGACGAGGGCGACGGCGTCGGCGGCGATGGCGGGACCGGCATCGAGCACTTTGACCTTTTCGAGCCGGACCCCACCCCCATGGAGGATCTCTGAGGTCCTCCCCAGTCTCACCCCACCTTACCTCTGCCCCCCCCTCCCCCCATCCCTCTGCCTCCCATAGGGCAGGATATCACTAGCATATGCGCCTAGTGCGCACTTGGGCCCACATAGATGTGACCCGCCCACTCGAGTGCGGCGCCCAGAAGCTAGTGCTTGAGAGGACACCACAAACGCGGCACGGCCCGTTTTGGCTGTCTGCGGAGATTCTGTCTTAGCACACACAGTGAGTCATTCGGAGTCATTCGATGGCCAGAGTGCGATAAATAAATAAATAAAAACGGACACCTCTCTACTGTGAGATGGGTAAAAAGGAACAGGCCCCCGCCCTTGCGATCTTTGTGCAGGGTTCTTTGTGGGTGTGGTCGGCGACTAGCCGGGGTCGTCCTCCCGATGGGGGACTAGCACTAGCCGTCTTCCACATGGTCCCTCGGGTCCCTGCTGCTCCTAATCTCTTCGTACATCCTCCTGCTGATCTCCGCAAAGTCCTGCTCCCTCCCTCGTCTCACCCTGCGCGTCTGCTCCGCCTCACCGTCTTCTGCCCTGCGTCGTCTGGCGACGGGTCCTCCATAGTCGGTCGAAGTCGCCGCCCTCCTCGTGCCTCTTCCCAGTGTGTGTGCGGGAGTTGGTTTGTCGGGAGGGAGGGGCAGGCTGCTCACTCACGTGCACCGGGCCAGTGCTTGCACTTTGAATGCCGTGGGGCTCTCCTGCCCGTGTCCGGGCGTCTAGCCGGGCGTGGAGATGCGAGGGTCGCCCCCCCTGGCCCCACCGGCTGGAGCCGAGCAGGAGGGCCCAGCGCACAACCCTTGGTCAACTCACCCTCCACACCCCGTAGCCGACCCCCACAAGAATATGTAATACGAGCGACCTTGTGCTTGTGGAGAGGGTTTACCCGAAAACTTCGTACGACCGGGTAACTCCTTTTGGGAACGAGCCGCGTGCTTTGCACCTGCCTGCCACCCTTTTCGCCCTCGTAGTACTTGTACTTGTCGATCAACACCTCGCGCGCGTTCTACTCCGCGCCTCGCTCGCCCTCAAAAGAGCTGCACAAGCCGCTCCGCGCCTTTGTCGCCCTCGTAGTGCAGCAAGGTGCCGCTGGCAAACTCCGCGCGCACCCTCCGCTCTGTACCTTGTCGCCCTCGTAGTACTGCACCTCGCCGTCGGCAAACTCCGTGCACACCTTCCGCTCCGCACCTTTGTCGCCCTCGTAGTGCTGCACCTCGCCGTCGGCCCGCTCCACGCGCACCTTCCGCTCCGCACCTCGCTCGCCCTCGAAATGCTGCACGGCGCCGCTAGGAATCTCCGCGCGCATCTTCCGCTCCGCACCTTGCTCGCCCTCGTAGTGCTGCACCTCGCCGCTGGGAAACTCCGCGCGCACCATCCGCTCTGCACCTCGCTCGCCCTCGTAGTACTGCACAGTGCCGTTGGGAAACTCCGCGCGCACCATCCGCTCTGCACCTCGCTCGCCCTCGTAGCAATGCACAGTGCCGCTGGGAAACTCCATGCGCACCATCCGCTCTGCACCTCGCTCGCCCTCGTAGTACTGCACAGTGCCGCTGGGAAACTCCATGCGCACCTTCCGCTCCGCACCTCGCTCGCCCTCGTGGCAGTGCACAGTGCCGCTGGGAAACTCCATGCGCACCATCCGCTCTGCACCTCGCTCGCCCTCGTAGTACTGCACAGTGCCGTTGGGAAACTCCATGCGCACCATCCGCTCTGCACCTCGCTCGCCCTCGTAGTGCTGCACCTCGCCGTTGGGAAACTCCGCGCGCACCATCCGCTCTGCACCTCGCTCGCCCTCGTAGTACTGCACAGTGCCGCTGGGAAACTCCATGCGCACCTTCCGCTCCGCACCTCGCTCGCCCTCGTGGCAGTGCACAGTGCCGCTGGGAAACTCCATGCGCACCATCCGCTCTGCACCTCGCTCGCCCTCGTAGCAATGCACAGTGCCGTTGGGAAACTCCATGCGCACCATCCGCTCTGCACCTCGCTCGCCCTCGTAGTGCTGCACCTCGCCGTTGGGAAACTCCGCGCGCACCATCCGCTCTGCACCTCGCTCGCCCTCGTAGCAATGCACAGTGCCGCTGGGAAACTCCATGCGCACCTTCCGCTCTGCTCCTCGCTCGCCCCTGAGATGCTTCACCCGGCCGCTCCGCAAGAAACGCAAACGCAGCTTCGCGCAATTATAGCCGCGCCGCAGCCTCCAGACCTCGGTTCGGCGCTCTCCAGCGCCCTCCACTTCCGACGCGAGGCGGAGCGCCGGGCTCACCCTCGCTAGCCACGGGAAGTGGTCGGCGCTGGCGCGGTGATCGGCGGCATATCTGCGGAGCGTGTCCTCGCTGAGCATCACCACACCGAAGCCACCGACGAAGCGCTGGCTGAGCAGCAGCCGCATCGCCACGGCGAAGAGAGGGTCCTTGAAGCGCGCCAGGCCGCTGCGCAGGGCGAGGAGGCCGAGGCGCGGCGACGCGAGGCTGAAGGCGGCGCAGTCGGAGAAGTCGTCGACGCCCTCGAGGATGCGGAGGTGCAGCTCGTGCGGCAGCTCGGCCAGCCAGTCCGTGGGCGGGGCGTCCTCCTCGGTGCGTGCGGCGCGAGGGGAGCGCGACATAGTGTGTGAGGGGTGCTGGTGACAAACACACCGCAGGCGCTGGCTGGGGCAGTGAGAAGAAGAAATTTAGAATTTAAAGAAATTCCGCGGCAGGTTCTCAGGGTTGGTGGTGGGTAGTTGGGTGGCGAATTAAAAAGAAATCTGCGCGGGTATAATGAAATAATCCCGCGATCCGGTGCCCTTCGCGGGATCGACGACCGGGCACGCATAACTCATCGCGCCGCGAGTCGAGCTTCACGGACAGATGGCGGACGACAAGTCCGGCAATGTGGTTCAGAGCACTATCATTCGCGTCGACCACCTGTGCTGCCAGGGCGAGGCCGCCCTCGTCCGCAAGCTGCTTGAGCCTTTCGAGGCGTGCCTACAAAAGCAAACACGCGAGGGAGGTCGACACAAGATCCCAGCGTGGCGGCGAGGAACGAGAGAAGCCGAGCCAACGGGTCATATCAACGCCCAATCCGCATGGACACAAATTCCCCTTTCAGCTGCCAAAGCTCCCTTGCTCGTAGGAGGACGTCCTTGAGATCAAGATCAGCGTCAATGACCGCCGCTGCATTGTCGACCACCGGGCGAAGCTTGAGGCGCTCTCCAGTCATAGCAAAGACGAACGACATCACCTCCTGTGCTAATCAAAACCCGTGTATCGCGCGCCTCGCACACTGCGCCCCGCAGGCGGCCGAAATCGTCCGGATCCTCAACACGAAGCAGCTCGGCGCCTCAATCGCCGACGCTGGCGCGAGCGGCAGCGGCGGCGGTGGGGCCTCGCTGACGGGCGCAGAGGTGATGCGGTCGCTAGTGACGGCACTCCAGATCCTTCTCTTTTGCGGGGCGCTTGGCCTCAACTTGTATGGCGTGCTGCCCACGCTCGCGCTTGGCCTGGCCGGGGGTTCGATCCTGCTCAGCTGGCCGATGTTCCACTCGGCGCGCGCCAGTAGCTGCGTGCCGCCGAGATGCGAGACCGCCCAGACTCAGATGGGCTCGGTGGTGAGCTCCTCGCCCCTTCTCCAGGCGTACCTTTCCGTCCGTCGCGGTCTGCCCAACGTCGAGTTTCTGATGACCGTGGCCGCGCTCGGCTCGGTGGTGCTCGGAGACTACGTCGAGGCCGCATCGGTCTGCGACAGCTTCTCAATGTGGGCATGGCCTGCAGGTGGGTCTCTTCACACTTGACCCTGTGAATAGGTGGGCGCCATCGTCTCGCTGATGGACATGGTCAAGTTCTTCTTCGTCGAGCGCTTCGAGCGGCAGCTGCGCGGGGCTGCAAACGGCCCGCCGCCAAAGGTTGACATGCCGGGCGGCAGCTCCAAGCCGGTGCCGGAGTTGCAGGCGGAGATATGCGCACGCTTCGCCGGGACTGGGACCTCTCAACGGCGCCTCTTCACGCGGAGGCGTCTTGACTAGGCTGGGGACGTGTACATCGTGCGCGCGGGAGACGCGATTCCGACAGACGGTGGAAGAAGTTGCATCGGCGATTCGGGCGCGAGAGGCTGATGACAGCAACGGTTGCTGTAGGAGTCGTGACGACGGGCAAGGCGTCGGTCGACGAGAGCCGACTCACCGGCGAGGCGATGCCCGTCGAGAAGGAGCAGGGCGCGTCCGTCAAAAGCGGCGCAATTGTCGCGTCCGGGTGCGCGACGCATGAGGGCGAACAGAGCTTCCAAGGAGTGACGGTCATCCGCGCAATCTCAGGTACATGGAGGTGAAAGCGGATGCGTCGGCGGACAAGAGCTTCACCGCGTCATTGGTGGACCAGCCATGGAGGGGACACATCGCCCCGCTCGTCTCACGTCTTTGGCCTTGAACAGATGGACTCCGTCAAGGACGCGCAGGGCACCCTCTCAGAGACGGAGGAGACAGTCAGCCGTTTTGCCAAGTTCTACACGCCGGCGATCATCCTCGCGGCCGCCGCGATCGGCTACGTGCAAGGCTTCGGGCTGTCCCTAGTCGGGCTGTTTGCCCTGACCAGCGCCCCGTTCAAAGGCGAGCTGTGAACAGGATTCAAGCAGTTCCTCGTCGTGCTCGTCGCGGGATGCCCCTGCGCACTCCTTGGCGCAGCGCCGTTCGCCTACGGCGCCGCGCTCGCCGCGCTCGCGAAACGGTGCTCTGCCTCTCCCCGGCGCCTGCTGCCGTCAAGACAAGCTGACAGATGCGGCCGTGACCAGGCACTCGCTGCTGCTCAAGCAGAGCACGGCTCTAGAGGCGCTCAGCAGGATGAAGTATATTGGTCTCGACAAGACGGGCACGCTGACGAAGGGTGCGCTGTCGCCACACCTACGGCCCCGCACAATGAGCGCCTCTTCACGCGTCTATTTCTGCGAGCAGGCCAATTCGACCTCGTCGAGTTCGTGGTCTTCTCGAGCACCTACACTAAGGAGCAGTTGCACCGCTGGCTGGCGGCGGTGGAGGTGCGCGATAACCATCCGATCGCACGCTCCATCGTGCAAAGCTACACCGGCTGTGTGGTCAGCTCGTCGGTTCTTGTTCGGGTATCTCGTCGGCTCTCGGCGCAATCTCGGATGCACATCGGCTATAGGTCAACTTTGCCGGCTCGGACGAGCTGCCTATGGTCAACCCATTCAAGCGGCATGGCCGCAACGGCGTCACGGGGGGCATTGACGGCAAGATTGTTGGCGTCGGCATCGAGCATCCTATCGTCTGTCCATGGTTGTGAACAGCGTAGTTTCACGGTGACATGCTGCGAGCAGGCAACAAGGACTTCATCGACTTTGTTGGGGCCGAGATCCCGCCGACGAT